ACCAGTACACCTGAAGCCACCTTAATCCCCTTTGAGGAGCCACAGCAGCTGCCAGAGTCAGTCTTCTGCCGCTCTGTCCCCATCACCATAAGTTCAGGCCCTTGTCCCAGTGCTGGAGTAGGCATCTGCTCTGGGGAAACCCTGGCTTTCTCGGTTGCCTACTGCTCCCATTTCAGATTTGTCCCTTTTTTTTTTTTTTTTTAAAGATTTTATTTATTTATTTGAGAGAGAGAATGAGTGAGAGAGAGAGCACACGAGAGGAGGGAGGGTCAGAGGGAGAAGCAGACTCCCCGCCGAGCAGGGAGCCTGATGCGGGACTCGATCCCGGGACTCCAGGATCATGACCTGAGGCGAAGGCAGTCGCTTAACCAACTGAGCCACCCAGGCGCCCTGTCCCTTTATTTTTTAACTGTGTGTGTGACATTCTCTTGGTACACGTGTGTTTGCATGGGTTTCTCTGAGAGTCCCCTTTTCTGGTGAAGCCTTCACTGGAGACACAGCAGTGACTTAAAACTGTGTCTCTGTACTTCGTCCAAGATCTTTTGTGTGATAGTCGGAAGAGTGCCTTCCAGATGTTTTCTCTGCCTCCCGGCTGGAAGTGAAAGCCCCCAGCCATCTCTTGTCTTCCGTTGTCTTTCTACCTGTGTTTGGTTTTAGACAGAAGCACTGCACTGGCTTCAGCTCTAGCCTTGATTCAGGATCCCATTAATTGCATGCTTAACAAAAATCCAGAGTTCTCAAGTCAGTCCCTTGAGAGGACCACTTCACCCTAAATGTTGGTCTCTAGGTTTAAAACCATCAGTTCCAGAGAAAACCCTTGGGCCCAGGTGCAAGGTGGAGGTGATACGTATGGTTAGACCAATAATGAACCAAGAGAGGAGACCGCAAAATGGCCAGGTCTCATTAAAAGCCGTACTTTGACTTGTTAGTTGCAAGCATTGCTCATTCTCGGCCTGAACTAATGTGATTTCTCACCTTTTATGTTTGCTATTGCCCATCAGTTTGACGAGGGAATGAATACCAGATTTTTTTTTTTTTTTTGAAATTAACATGGCCGCTGTGAGTGGTGTTACGTGTAAGCTCAGCTACGTCTGAGAAATGGCAGGCATTTCTCCTGTATCCCATGTTCATTTCAATGAATGAGTTTTGAAGAGGTGGTTAGCTACTTACCTTCCAACATGTTCGGGATGACCGGTTCCTTCTAAGTATGTGGCATCCCGTAATGACGACCCCTGGCAGCCTTGTGCCGCCACGAACAACATTGCATCGAGTTATTCGTGGTTGAAGGAGCTTGTCATGCCCTGCCGAGTTTGTAAGTCATTTATGGATTATGCGCCCATGCTACAATCTCAGGGAAAGTTAATTTTATCTACTGAGAGAGATACATGTATATTTTAATTCCTGCTCCCTGAACTTAACGTCTGCATACCTGTTTTTATCCAGAAATGTGGTCAATGGGTGTATTGGTTTCCTTACCCGAGAGAGAAAGATATTTCAAATTCCTGCTTGAGCTGTCTTTGAGAACTAGCTGGGGCACCGTGGACCAGTCACGGGACTTCCTTAGTTTCTGTTTGTTTAAACTGCAAAATGGTTGGTTGAGTTAGGCCAGTGTTCCAGCGTGTGGATTATGGAATCACTGTTGGCATGCAGCATGATTCCAGGTGGTACTGGAGACCTTGCCCTACATAACATTTAATTCATGGGCTATCAAAGTGATTTTCTCTTCTGTTCTCCATTTAACTGTAGTGTGTCTTTAGTACTTCTCTCAGGCTTGTTTATCTCCTTTAAGAAAGAGAAGTTCTCAGGCCCAGAACCTTTCCTCTTGTAATAGTCTGGAACTAGAATGTTCTGTCCTTGCTGTCATTCTAGCATATATTTCCCACCCCCTACTCCAAACTTTTTACTCAGAAAAATGTCTTAACCTGTGGGAAAGAAGAAAGAAAAGCACAATGAACACCATATGCCTTTCACCTAGATTCAGTGAGAATTAGCTTTTGGCAGCACTTGCCTTATTTCATACTCTTCCTCCCATGACTCTCTCCCTCTCTCTCTCTCTATGTTCCAAGGTAGCCTGTTCTGCTTAACTGTGGTAGTGAAGTGAATTATAAGCCCCATGTTGTTAACAAATGAGGATTCAGAACTAAATTGATTTTCTAAAAGTCAGCCATAGCCCAGTTTACTCATCCAAGTGTCGCGGGCTTCACTCTGAGACTGTTTTATGCTGGTTCAGTAGAGCGGTTATTTTGCATTTTACAGCAGTTCCCTGAAACAACAAAGATCAAGAGAACCATTATCCGAGGCTTTCACTTTCATTTGTTTAATAACTATTAATAGCTACCTGTGCAATTAGTTGCATTTATTGAGTTTCATATTTGGAAACACCTCAAAGTAATCTTGTCCTAGCCACTTCTATGCACCTAAGACAGAGCCAAGAAACGGAAAGTCTGCAGAAAATAGATATCGCAGGGGCCATTCCCCGAAGCTCAGGGGCTGTGTTTACAGGCAAGCCCCTGAGGCATCCCTCTCTCTCTGGTCCTCTTTTCTCTTCCTTTATGCCGTGTTCCCATAAGCCTCCTGACCCAGAAGAGAAAGAAAACGAGTGCTCGGGTAAGCATGTCACAGCCGCAGGAAGCAGGGGTGAGCCGTCTGATGGCAATGGAAGAAACCAAGGCAGAATTCTCAAGCACCACTAAAGAACCCATCCTCTGCGCTCGGAACTTTTCACTTCATCATCACCCCGCCCTGTAAGGGAGATGAGCCCACGGCAGGTCACTAATAAGCAAGGCTGGGCTGTGAACAGAAGCCTGCCTGTCTTGAGAGCCAGGCTCTTTCCAGAAGGGCTGGGCGGAGGTGCTGTGGATTCTGGGATCACAGCGTGCAGGACACAGCCTGGGGCCGTTCTGGAGACTGCTAGGACTTCATTGTGCAAATGAATTGTTGTTGGGCAGCACTGTCATTGCTGGGGTTGATTTTGTTGATCTCCAGGCATGTAGCAAAGGTTGGGTTTGGATAATGGCCCTCATGCATTTTGCGGGTGCATATTTCAGTGGGAATTCTCACCACCCGCTCCTATTTAGCGGAGCACCCACTGCAGGGCCTCGAACACCAGGGAGGAGACCCCTTGGCTCCCCTCCCCTGCTGCACCATTTACACCAAGGACTCGCCTCCCCTTTCACCCTTCTCCCTGGGCTGCAGCCGGGATCTCCTTGAGCCGCAGGGCCCACAGGCATGGCAGGAAAGAGAGGGCAACAGCTCGTGACCGAATCTTCTCATTGGCCCCAACCCCATAGGCTTTCCGCAGGCGCCGTAGGTTCGGGGGTGTCCAGTAAGGCATGTTGGGGGGTGCACAGTAGGTTCCCAAACCTCATGCTCTCTGCCACACAATCCCATCTGCTCCTACCCTTGTTCCGTCTGCCTCGTGTGTGCACTCTGCGCCCGGCGCTGGGGGACATGTCATGACTGGGCCCTGTCTTGCGGAGCTAACACTCCGATGGGAAGCGCACAGACATTGAACGAGGCATCGCACGGCTCATGCAGATGGTGGGACGTGCTGTCTGTGGAGGGAACATGGTAGGAGAGCATACAGCTGGGGGCGTGTGTGTAGGAAGGAAGGAAGGAAGGAAAAGTGTGCTCATGTTCCCCAGAGCTCCTGGAAGTGCATCGTCGGGTGGGTAGGCTTCCAGGACACGGGGCTGACACGGTGCATAGAACACCTCTCCTCCCTGCCCAGAACCTTCAGCCCACATGTCCAAGGTCAGATGCCATGTCTTCCACAGACCTTTTTCTTGCCCTCCATCCATCCCCTCCAGCTGCAAATACCCCTTTTCTCCTGTGCATATTCCTCTCTCATCACCGCTTCTTCTGAGCACCTACTGTGTCCTCTCAGTGCCTACCCCTGGGAATGTGTGGCCGAAGCAGGAATGAACATCACAGTCCTCACCCCTGAGCCAGGCACTGGTCCCCCGTCCTCAGCCCCACAACGAAGTGGGTGCAATTACACTTCCCTCTGCCAGTATGGAAGCACAGGGAGCTCAGTTCATCACTCAGACGTAAAGACACGAGACAGTAATCCGTGGTGTGGGCTTCTGATGGGAGTGTATGGAAGGGACCTAGTTATAGGGAAATCAGAAAAACAGCAAGAGTCTGTCGGGTTGCACTAAGAGCCCATCTTGAGAATCAGACTTTGGTCTTAATCCCATCTCTGCTACGTATTAGCTGGATGGCTTTCCAGACCTTTCTTCCAACGTCAGTAAAATAGGGATGCTCGCACCCACTTTACAGAGGTAAATGCAGCCATCCTTGCAGATGGCACGCGGCATTTGGCAGGTGGTGAGTATAGTAGGTGGCACCTTACTGCTCCCTCACCTGTGATGCGACCACGACTTGCTTCTCTGTTCAACTTTAAGCATCTTTGCGACAGCATCTGTATCTGATCCCGCCGCGGATGCCTCCTTGGGACCCTCCCTAAGACCATGCATCTGTATGAGGTGTTCAGCGAATATTTGCAGGATGAACAAGGGAGGGAGGGAAGGCGCGAGTGAATAGCTGTCACCACACGGCAGGTGGTGGCCCTTTCTGCTGAACCCTGCGTTTCATCTCCTGACAAGAGGGTCCTAATGTCGCAGCTCTGGCAGAGAGCGGGCTTGTCCCCCTGATGGACCCCGGCAGGCTGGCGGAGCCTACCCCACGGTGTTGGCAGGCGTGCAAAACCAAGCCCGGCTTGATTTTTCTGGTTTAATCTAAGAGGTGGCCCTCCACCACCATCACCACAGAAGAGAGTGGTTTGCCGTCTCTACCCAAGCCGAGGGAGAATGCGGGCGAGGGGGGGGATGGGCGGGGAGGCCGGGGGTCTGGATTTGGGGCGCTGTCCGCAGAGCAGGGCCGCCTGCAGGGCCCCAGGCGGGCAGAGCGCTGGGCTGCGGGTCAGGGGGCCGCAGGCGTGAGCATGGGGGGCTAACCTGTGTCCTCTCTGTGTCCCCTCCCCGCCGCCCCGTCCGCAGGAACGGCCTGGGTGGCTGCCGGCTGCGGACTGAGAGCGAGCCGTCGTGCGGCTCCCCGGTGGTCAGCGGCGACCCCAAGGAGGACCACAACTACAGCAGTGCCAAGTCGTCCAACGCCAGGAGCACCTCGCCGGCCAGCGACTCGGTCTCCTCCTCCTCGGCCGACGACCACTATGAGTTCGCCCCCAAGGGGAGCCAGGAGGGCAGCGAGGGCAGCGAGGGCAGCTTCCAGAGCCACGAGAGCCACAGCGACACGGAGGAGGACGACCGCAAACACAGCCCCAAGGAGGCCAAGGACGCCCTGGGGGACAGCGGCTACGCGGCCCAGCACAAGAAGCGCCAGCACTTCGCCAAGGCCCGGAAGGTGCCCAGCGACACGCTGCCCCTCAAAAAGAGACGCACGGAGAAGCCCCCCGAGAGCGACGACGAGGAGATGAAAGAGGCGGCGGGCTCGCTCCTGCACTTGGCAGGGATTCGGTCCTGTTTGAATAACATCACCAATCGGACGGCAAAGGGGCAGAAAGAGCAAAAGGAAACCACAAAAAATTAAAAACAAGTCACTGATTTGTTTTGAACTTTCGGCCATTTGGTTTTAGCATGTCAGGAGATTTCTAATGATTTGTGGCAATATCAGCAATTTTTTTTTCTTCTTTCTTTTTTTTTTTTTGGTTTGGTTTTCTTTCTTTTCTTTCCTTTTTTTTTTTTTTTTTTAATTTGCCCCTCCTTTGTTTTGGACCCTTAAGAATTTTATTTTTAAAGGAGATTGAAGCCATAGAACTCATATTGACACTCAGCTGTTTTACAAAAGCTTTTCATTATCTGAAGACAAAACCGAAAAAGCCAAAATTACCATTGCTTCCTCCAGCTTTGTCAGAAACACGTGGCTGAATCCGCAGGGATGCCAACGGTCATGCCACGGGAACACACATTCAGCACCTAGAAGGCACGTGTGCAAAGTAATCATCGATCAGGCCCAACCCTTAGGTTTAAAAGGTCAGGATGGCCCCCCAGTTGGGGCCACTGAGTGAATGCGTATAAGGCGACTGGGGACAAGGAAGAACCCTGGTCCCCTGGGAGCAGACCCAGGCTCGTAGTGCGGGGCGTCCAGCTGTGCCAGGAAAACTCTTGGCCTTGCCATGGGTGTCATTGCCATGAAGTGTGCAGGGGTGGGTGGACAGAGTGGGGGGCGTTCTCCAGTCCTTTGTGCTTCTTCGCTGTAAAGCCTAGTAGCATCTTAGGAGGGGGACATACTGGACCACTCCTTTTACACCAGGTGTCAATGACTAATGAGAAGAAACTGGGTCAATTTTTAGTGATGTTGCTCATCATTGAATTTTGTTCTGTATTGAGAGAATGTTCCACAAGCCATAAGCCTGAAGGTTGGCCCTGCACACATATACACACACACACATGAGAGAGAGAGAGAGAACTGATGCAGAAAACAAGCTATGTCTTCTTAACTGCCCAAGTGAATATCAAGTCCAGGAAAGTACAGTAGCTGTTAAGGAAGAAAATAATGGTACAGGTCTTTTTCTGTCTGTCAAAACTATTTGATCCGAGTGAGAAAACAAAAAGCTACAGAACCTGCCATTAGTATTGTGGTGTATTTCTAAAAGATGAAAGGCAGATTGATGGACAAAGAAAAGTAAAAACATGGCAAAAGAATACAAAAACAAAAAAGTCCTATACTGCCCTCAAAATGGAGTTTGCAATTAATATCAGGATTCATCTTTGCAAAATCAGTGAATTCCACGTTCAGCCAGTGTAGCCAGCAGAAATTTCTGATCCACAATGCATGGATTCCTTTTAAAAAAGAAAAAAAAGAAAAAAAGACAAAAAAGGAAAAAAAAATCACAAAACACAAACTTTTTTTTATTCAAAAATAACAAAGTTCTTGTAAGGTAAATAATGTATTTAGCATGAAGCATGAATTATTTTCATATAAATATAGAAAATAGAGAAAAGGCTATGCCTCTAATTTTTAAGCCCTTAGGCTTAGACTTTCTTTTGGTTTTCTCTTTTTTTTTTTTCTTTCTTTCTTTCATTTTTTTTCTGTTGTTTTGGTTTTTTTTTTTCCCAATTATTTTGTTTTGGTTTTTTGAAGCAGGTGTTTAAGGTTTAACCTTCTTCAGGGACAAATTCTGACTGTTGGGGAATCTTACTCTGCAATATAAAATATCTTCGTGTTCTGGTAGGGCCTGGATGGCGGAGCTCTAACTGCCTTGTCTGCACTTCAGCCCCCGACCCCCTGGTTCTCTGTTGAAAAGTGTGTCCTTTCTCTTTGTCTGTCCATGTTTACCATGACGCAATAATTTGAGGGCAAACTTAGTAGTGAGTGTGTATGATAGAATCAAGAGAATTACGGGACGCTGACTTGAGAAAACCATTACCGTGATTTGGTCCTAGCAAAAAGGCAGTGAATAATTATGCAAATTCGCCAGAAGAAGGGAAAGCACGCTAATGGGCCTTATTGGATGAGGGTGTGAGTTAGGGTGCGCGCGAAGGAGGAAGTGACACGGGTGTTGGAAGGACCAGCCCCAGACAGTTTTCCTGTGATGCCATCTCGCAGTGGGAAGGAGGGGCCGGCCACCTCTGCCGCCTGAGCACACGAACCAACCTGGAATTAAGCCCACCTAGATTATACGAGAGCTGAATTTAGACAACCGGACGATGTCACGCAGACCAGAAACTCCTGTTACCTTTGCCTAAAAGAAATTATCTCGGGAGACCCAGAGAGAAATCTCTGAAAGAATATGATCTTCCACCCACATGGAGGGGGATTTTAAAACATAAACAGGAACACCCACTACCGGGGCTCAGGATGTGGTGGTGAGGGAGAGCGGGGGGCACTGGGGAGACGGGGACGTTGGAAGACGGGACAGTCAGGGGCCGTCATGGAGCCCAGTGGCCAGCAGCAGCCAGGGCAGAGGGAATGAACTGGCGCGGACCCCGCGCTTTCCTTCCTCTGGGCTGCTGCTAAGAGAACCTGGGGGCGGGCGGGGGGCGGGTAAAAGAAGTCTACGCCCATAGGACAGGTCAAGTTCAGGACCTGAACCTGAATACTTCCAGCACATTTGTCCCGGGTGTAGATGGGAAAAGGATGTATTACCAAAGTGCCCTGTTCCCTCCATCTCCCCAAATATCTGACACCCCAAAAGCTGTGTCAGTTGCAGAGCCTGAGCAACACTTTGATATGTGTTGTCGCCTGACCAAACCCGGAAGACACCCCCTTCGGCTCCGCCCCCCCCACTCCTCCATCCCCCCCACACCCCAGGATAAAGTTCAGGCTTCTCTCCCGAAAGGCAGAGGCAGACATCCAGGACTGTTTCTGGCGGGGACTTCTTCCAGTCAAAACCCCTGCGGTGGGCTGTCTCCCCTCATTTCGTTTTTCTAAAGGAGCAAAGGTGTCTTTTAGAAAATAATAAAATGCAATGTGTGTGATTTACTTTTCTGATCTCTTTAAGAAATAGATAAATATAAAAGTGTGTTCTTAACTCCAGAACCACTCTTTTTGCATAAATACCTCATCGGGCAGCTTTCTAAGTGTTATTTTCCTGAGTCTCCCTCAGCACCTGTGTAGGAGCCGCTGGGTGACTTCTAGGGGAAACTTTAGTGAGGGTACTTTTTTCTATTTTTCTTCTGTTTTTGGAGGCATACACATTATGCATAACCAAAACAATGGCTCAATTGTGTTTAACTTTGTATTTTGATTGTTGAGAAAAAAAAAAAAGTATTGATGTGTATGTGGCCGTTTGTAGTGAATTCATGGCAGAATGAGGTTGTCCGTTGTCCTTGCCAAGCCAAGGGGCGGGAGGCACCCTCTCTCACTCCCTCCTCCAAGAGCAGTAGAGGATTTAAGCACAAGCCTATTTGTGAAAGACTATTTTGCTCAAATGTAATTCACTTTAGTCTTGGAATTACTTCCCAAACGTCAGGTGTTCTTTTAGCTTCCAAACTAGCGTATGTATTCATGAGTCTGACAGATCGCCTGAGCACCGTTCCAGGGGTGTGGTGTTTTTGCTTTCATTTCTCCTGCTGGGAGAAGGGGTGTTTTCATGTGTCATTCCAGTATCTCACATACTCACGTGGGGCAGGGGGGGAGGGGGAGACGGGGAACTATAGCAATATTTAAAGATGCTTTGGAAAACAACCATGAACACATCAGCACCATGACATCTACAATTACTTGCTGTTGGCCCTCGGACACATTTAAGAGAAAGAGACTGTAGCTCTTTTTTCTTAAATGATATACACATAGACAGTTATTTTTATGCTACTCTAATTGTCTTTTATCTTTATCTAGTACTACTTGGAAAGGGTCTGCATCATAGATTTTTCCCAGCCTTATTATATACCATAAGCTCCTACTTCCCTTCCCTCTCTAATCAATATACTTTTAAGAGTTCTTTGGTAAATAAAGCTGTCTATTTGAAACTCAAATGAACCAAACCCACGTTTAGGTGGTGGTTTGAGATGGCCAAGACAACTGCTGCAGGTTTCAGTCTTGGGGCTGAGTCTTTAAGAAGGGATGTGTCAGAGGCTTTTCCCAAGAGCTGATTTTTTCTCGGAGAGGCATTCAGCGTGTCTGGTCCTTGCTGGGTGCGGCAGTAGCTACCACAGGGCATTCTAGAAGCTGCCGTTGCACACGAATGGCGTTCCTGCCCCAGGGACTTCAGGCTGTGGGCTGTGAAAACCGTCCAGATGGCTTTTGTGCCCAGCTCAGTGCTGGGACACACTGGGACTGCCCGGCGCCAAGTGCTACCAACTCACGTTTCAGTGACCCCCACACTATGCATGTGGGCTCTTAGCCTCTCGTTCGAAGGGCTTTTGGAGAAGGAATCAGAGTTCTGTACAAGTGACCTACATGGGAGGGTTTTCCATATGGGATTGGGTTAAATTCAATGTGACTTCTCTTTTCCCTTTAAACTTGATTCAGGTTGGGACTCGGTTTCTTTCTGGTGGATCACAGCTGCCCAGATGTTGCAATTTATTTTTATGTTTCTGTAGAGAAGTATTTTTCTTTCATCTTCAGGATTTTTGCCACCAAAAGAACACATTCGAACTCTGTGTCCCCTCTTGATTGTGACTTAACCAGTGTTGACAGTTAAATCCTTAGTGTCGTAGGTCCCAGCCCTCCAATACTATATCAAACACTGTTATGCACATAATGCAGCACTGTGATCTAATTTAAATAATACTTTTTTATTATTTATACTACTATATATAATATACATCAACACTTTTGCTATATAACCTAAGTGATAACCCTCTTTTAGTTACCTGCCAAACTCGGGACTTTGGTTTATATTGCAGTTAAAACACAGTTACAAAGTTGTAATGGTGTCTTTTTTTCTTTGTAACAGAATGTGTAAATCGAAGTATATACATTGTGTGGTGTTCCTGTTTCTGGAGTTTCATGAGGATTTACACATGGCATTCAGTGTTCTGTATAGACCCGCCTACCTTTGTGAATTCATCTGTTAACCCCTCTTCCTTTGAGAGAGCACCGGAGGTGGTTAACTCCTTGTTTTCTCTCTTCTACTGGTTATTCTTGAATTAAGCACAGACTCGTCAGCTCGGTTGCTTTATCATGAATAATGCGTGTGACCTTGAAATTCTTCCACAGTTAAGCAAACAAGTGCTAGCTTCACTGACCAAAAATTAAGGAAGGAAAATACGATTTTCAAAATGACCCATCTTTTAACGGCCGAAACCGATGTGTCTATGGTGCTGCATTTTGCTGTCCTACTTTTGAAATCAGACCTAGGTGAAAGATCACTTCTGACTTTACTGTGATATGCTCACAAGTACCCTTCCCGTTCGTTTTGTTAGCGTTGAAATCAAGACTATTTATTTGGAGTATATTCAACAGTGTTTTTCCCACTGTATTTCATTTGCAAAAGTTGAGAACAGCCTTCCCTACCTTTTGCAAATAACTGATATTCCATATTGGATTCGCACAGACTTCGATATGGTGAGCCTATCAAACCTACAAATTGTATTTCATCCTTTCATTACTGTGGCCTGAGTTCCCCAACCCCCACCTCCTTTTTTTAGATGAAACTTAGCACAAGTTCAGTTATTTAAACATGAAGCATTTCTTGAGTACGTGTATTGAGGCCATTGAAGCTCATAGCTGATTCAGTAACCAGTTTCATGCTGTTTTATTCACACTTACTACTTATTACTGCCATGGTGAAAATGCGGGGTGGGGGGGGGAGTATCCGGGGTGTGTCTGGGAAGCATTAGACACTTGTACATTTTTTTATACTCTGATTCTGTAACATTTCTGAGTTGCGTTTTTGTTTTACAGAAGAAAAAAAAATAACAGTGATAAAGCAATCAGAAGACCAAGAGGTTTACTGTCGATGCTTAGGGTCGTCTGACCTTTGCTGGCCAATAGACCTACATGGCCAAATTCTAATTTACTAGAGTAATAATTTCTCAAAAGCCAATTTTTTTTTTCTGTATTTTCTGTATGAAACTGCCAATATCATGAATAGAAAGGGAGAACCATAAAGGAGAAAGAAAGTGACGTTCAGTTGCATCTGTGTTCCCTGCAGGAGCATTGTGAAGGCAGGCACAATCAGCCGGACTTTAGGGACCTGATGGTATTGCTTTGGAGGCATCCATACATGCATTTCGCATTCTTCATATGTAATCATATTGCCAAAGACAAACTATTTCATCATTTATTGTAAATAACACTTTCCCCCAGACCTACCATAAAGTTTCTGTGATGTATTGTCTTCCAGTTGCAATAAAAATTACTGAGTTGCATCAATTGACGAACAATGCCACGTCGTATTGTGTGCACTGCGTCTCCATATGCAAATGCCGAGCAGTAAAATCATTTCTATTTCTTACCTGCACTAGGGTGTGTGTTCCGTTTTTTCCACTTCGGTTTTAGGGTCTCAGACGCACTTACTGGACCCACCCATCCTCGTGCATGCTTCCCTTGTGGTTTAAAAAAGAAAAAAAAAATGGCACACCTTTTGCAAATATGCAAACTCCCAGTCAGAGGCTGGGCTCACTTGTAGCTCTCAGCTCTGGTCTAAAGAATCGTCGGACAGCAAGCCCC